CGTGGATGGGGGCTTGAGGTGCGGACATGGCTTGCAAGGCATGTGGCAGGGAAAGCCGCGTGGTCAGGGTGCTGCTATCTGGTCAGCTTTCTGCCACAAGGCTTGTCCAGGGTGGCTGAAGCTTTAAGAGGGGCCAGGAGGCAGGAACAATAGAGTTGTGATTACTTTGTATGGAGTGGACACCAGGACGCCTGTGCTTTTTCCTGGAAGCCTCTTCTTTTGAAAAAAAAAAACCTCCTCCCCGTTCACACATGCCTTTTTGCGAAAGAGCTCTTTCGCAAAAAAGCTTCTTCCTCATAGAATTAGGATTACCACTGTTGGAAAAAGCCCTCCATTCTTTTGATTTTCTATAGAAAGAACGCAATTTCAATGTGGACATTCCTCAAGTTTTGTTGGAAAAACGGCTGTTTTTCCGACAAAACTCTGTCATGCAGACATACCCTGAGAGCCCCCCAAACCTTGACCCAGTGAGCAGAGCTTACCTCCCTCACCTCCAGCAATTGCCTGCACCTGGATCGGGGCAAAAATGCTTCCCATTTGTAACCTCACATACTCTAGTGCTAGCACACAGTTTTGCCTGTTTCACAGTTGGAAACAAACAGAGCAGTGCCCAGAGGTGCAAGGCATACTTCATCTCCCATATCACAGTAGCACCTAGCACATTTCCCCATTCCAAGCCTTATCTGGAAGAAATATCCATAGGAAATACAAAACAGGACTCTGAATTCTAATCACCAGACACCTGCGATCAAAAGTGCTCATGAAACCGCCATTGCAGCATAGAACAGATAAAAAAATGCATACCTCTAGTTCCTGTTGATCAACACATCACTGGACAGGAATGACTCTTTCATCTATATCACCATCACACAAGAGACAATCTTTGACCTTGCCTGCATTGTTATAGCCTCATTGGATGATAATGCAAGCTGAAAGCTAGGTTCAGGCTACTTACACTATAGAATATCACAAGACAAGGGCAGTAGAGTGAGAAGAGTGCAATGAAATACACAGAAAATATGTGAAAGTGTGTTAAATAGGGAGTGTTATAGTAGATGGTGAAATATTTTTGGACAGAGTCAAGGAGTCTAAAGCCAGAAGAGACCCTTATATCATCTAGTTTGACTTTGTGCATAACCCAGGCCATTACATTTCACCCAATTATCCCAGTTGTAAGCTCATAAGGACTTGCAGTCTGTATATAAAGACATCAAGAGATGGAGGCTCCATCACTTCCTTTGCTAATTTGTTTCCAATTGTTAATCACACTCACTGTGAAATAAATGTGTGCCTTATTTCCGATTTGTATTTATCTGGCTTTAGCTTTCAGCCACTGTTTTTTTGTTTTGTTTTTTAGGTCTTTTCCCACTTGATTAAAAAGCCTTTTCATAGCCTGTATTTACCCATGTCAAATACATTAATATTACAGTAAAATGCAGGTAACTATAAATAGAGAGATCGTTACTG